ATACAATTATGGCTACAAGTTTCATGCAAGATTTGCGCGCACATTGCCGGTTCAAAACACTTTGCGCGCATATTGGTAGCAACATATACAGCAAATTGGCTTGCGTAAACCTTGTTCCGATTTTGCCCTCAATTTGACATACGTCATGTTGCAAGACTTTCTGCCAATTTTCTTTACTATTTTGTAAACTGGCATTGTCTGTAAAACCCAAGTCAAATGCGGAAATAGCTGGCTATGGTTTTTTAGACAACTTTTGTCATTTATTGCTGGCAATTTGCTCGAAATTTGTACACAACTGGTTATCAGGGTGTTAAGGTTAATAAAACATGATTTATACATAAAGTCCCCCCAACTTCTTGATGAGACTTGTATACACAGTCCAATAATTTCCACACCTAGAGTACAAGAAGCGTAAAAGAGAGAATAGAATATTTAAATAGAAATGGATTCACCCATTTGCAACTAAAAAGAGGGATTGGAGAACGGAGACATATGTACGCAGAATTATCTACTAGAAAGAGTATGATGCAAGGGTGCGAGGTGCGACCACAGACGAGATATAAGAATAACCTAACATGCAATGTAATTTTCTGATCCATGCTTCAAGGGCGTCAGAAGCCCCCTTACCATTTCAGTCTCAATACCCAACACGTTACCGATTCAGTGTGAAAATATATCACCGTGCTCTTATGGCCCAGAAGTAAAACTAAATAACTTATGTGTGATAAATGTGTGTCAGTGACTTCAGTGCGGGAAGGTAGCAGAGTTAGAGAGATTAGTAGACGGTAACAATTTGTTTAACCCTTTGTTTTGTCTGCTTGTTGTTTAATAACAAGTAGTGCATTATTGTACATATTGCCTTTCTTATGTGTTGTATATAGCCTTTCCTTATTGCGTTTTCCAATTTTTATATTGAATATTGTGAGAATTCGTAGAACATGGAACGTCAGACCAGTAAAACACATTTTAAGAAATGTTCATATTATAATTGCGGTTTAATAAATCGTAATGTAACGGACGGCACTTTATTTCATTCTTTCCCTATTAATAACAATATGTATTATGTGCTAGTAACCTGCGGTCTCGATGATTGGGTGGAATTGTCTGATAGTACATTAAAACAAAAATACATATGCAGTCGGCATTTTTCAAACGATAGTTGTTCCGCGTTGATTCAAATAATAATACAAGTTTTAAATTTGATATCAGTTCAAGAAAGAGCGAACAAAATCCACTGGAAAAGCGATTGATGGAAACTGAAACACTATTACTGCGAGAGAAGAATATTTCTAATTGTCTTCGATTGCAGATACGGGCAAAGAGTAAAGCATTTAATCGTTTTAAAAATAAAGTATCTTCCGGCTGTATTTATGATACATGCTTGAAATTGATACATGCATTAATTGCATAAAAAGTTTCGGGTTTTAGTTTAACTTTTATTTTAATGTTATTATTTTCGCCACTTAGATCGCATCGTTACAATCGCCGTGAGCAACAATTGTGTATGGACATGCTTTACACTTCGTCAGGTTTGTACATTAAATTACGCAACGTCTTGGGTTTTCATCCACCGAATCCTGTCACCATCATTCAGTGGTTCGGTAAAATGGACATTTAGCGTGGAATCTGCTCAAATTTATTTACCGCGCTCAAAATTAAATCTGCCCATATGGAAGGTATACAAAAAGTGTCTGGATTAGCACCCAAACAAGCAAGTTATTGAAGGTTTCGAAGATCTTGGATTTTTGGGTAGAAATTTAGCCGTGGGTTCGCAAGTGCTTGTTTTTATGGCTACGCGGGATGTTTACTAATTGGAAACAACCATTAGCTTTCTTTGTATCTGGATCTGGCGTAAAGAAAACAGATTTGTCTGTTATTTTGAACTAAATTTTAGATTTACTGTACGAGACTGGCTTGAAAGTGAGAGTAGTTGTTTCCGATCATGGATCCAGTAACCAGAGTGTCGCAAATGACTTAGTTACTATTGGAAAGCCATATTTTGAAAGAAATGGCCAAAAAGTTTATTTCCTTTTCGATTATTTACATCTTTTTAAAAGTATTAGAAATAATTTAATGAAAAATTATTTTATGATCAATGGTTCTCGGATTTCATGGTCCGATGTTGTAGCTCTTTGGAATTTAGAGAAAGATAGAAGCACGAGCGCAGCTTACAAGTTATCCGAAAAGCATATTCGTCCAAATTCTTTTGATAAAATGAAATGTAAACTTGTACTTCAAGTTTTTAGCCAACGCGTGTCATCTGCCATGCTTAACGCTTCAAGCGCTAAGTACAAGCAATTATCAATCGTTTGTTGACCTTTTTTTAATTAAAATGTGCCCAAATACAAGAACGCCAAATCGCGAAACATAAAAGATTGTCTCTCCTGGAATTGCGGACGAGATATTTAGCTAATCGATGTCGTTCATTGGACTCTTTGGACGAGCTGTTTTGCATCTCTGCTTATTAATAATTTCAACTCAAAATACATATTTATTAAATATCCTATTTGTAGCATCGCTAGATAGTACAATGTACAAAACTTTATTTCCATTTTGCGTCACAAGTACACAGTCAAATCAATTTTTAATTTTTTCTGTTTTGTAGTATAAATGCGTTGTCCGGTTAATAATGATTCGGAATTTGTAACAAAAGATATTATCGAATAAAAATGTATTTATTTGAAATAAGTATTTATATTTTTATTTGTATAAAACCTTATTCAACAAAAAATTTCGTAGCGTTATTAACGAAAAAAAATTTTGAATAGAATTGTATTTAACATTTTTTTGTTATGTCAGAGACAAATGTATGTATGATAGCACCTGTACAGTGTTATGTTCGGTTTAAGTGTACACGCGCAATTATTTCTGTAATTATTGAATATGCGAATAAATGTTTTTTTAATTGTTATTTACAGAGATTTTAAGAATAATGTAACTTTTATAAAGGAACTGCATATGTTATCATCATGTTATTATCATGTTATTGAGCATTTCAATTCGAATTCAACGACATATTTGAAAGTTTTGTTTGAGTAATAATTTTTCGGATAACTGTACGAATGTTGCTGGCAAATGTCAAGTTCGGATAGCATCTTTTTTTTTCTTTCATACAGTTATCCGAGAAATTATTACTCAAACAGAATTTTGAAATGTGTCTTTGAATTCATCTTAAAATCGTTCATAACACGACATTAATAAAAATATATAGTTCCGTTTAAAAACATTGTATTGTTATTAAAATCTCTGTAAATAACAATAAAAAAAATTCAAACATTCTATTAAGTTTGCTCCATTAAATGAAACAACTTTTATATAAAACATTTTTTCGTATTCGTAATAGTTAGATTAATATAATAGCATGTATACATTTATACCGGGCCTACTTGTATCCATATGTCAAACTGCCGTTCAGGTCGGGCGAGAAAAGCAGAATCTTCTTCCTTGCTAGCGAAACCGGGGCAATACTGGATATGTGTATCGCTATATGCACAAGTGTGTGTATGTGTGTGCTGTGCGTCATGATGGTGTCTAACGTAGTTCCTAAAGTCGGAAACTTTTATGTACAGTGCACTCGAATCAGCGTGATTTTCGTGGGACATGAAGTCCCATAAGATGTTAGGTCTATTCTTATATCTTGTCTGTGGTGTGACGTACATCGCCGGTAAGGCGAGAGGAGCGGGTGCCGACTCAGTCGGTATATGCCAGGGTCGTTTAAATTGACTGGACAAGTAAAGTTCTCGGTGGTAAATGCAGATTTATTTACATATCTATGTACAGTAGTAGTGCCAGACAGTCATGCGGTTGATTGGCGGCGTTTTATTTAACATATGTACGGCTGTGTTGTCGGCCGTTGATGCAGCGGCTTGGCGTAACCGCTTTACGGTGGTGGCCCGGATCTAGTAGGAAGCGGTAGCTATGGCAGGCCGGAGCCTGAGCGGCGGACGGTAAACTGCACGTATGACACAGACCCGGTGGCGGAACGGACGCTATTACAGACCGAAGCCTGAGCCGAGGACGGGTGTGACTGTACGAGTGTACAGACCCGGCGGTGGAAAGGATGTTGTAACAGACCGTAACCTGGGCAGGGGACGGGTCATGACTGTACTAATGTACAGACCCGGTGGCGGAACGTAGGCTATAATAGACCGGAGCCTGAGCGCCGAGGACGGGTGTGACTGTACTCATGGTTACGGAGTCTTTTAGCTCGGACTCCAGCGAGCACTCTCGATCGGCCGCGATTCGCGGCTCTTATCGCCCGCGCCGGGCTATTTCGCGAGTGAGAACCGACTCGCGGCGCGTGACCATCTCGCGGCAGACGGCGGTACCGCGGTCTCGACCGTCATGCTCGCGAGATCCCCCACGTCTCAGTGACGTTACGTCACAAGATCAACTACAATACAATGGAATAAGCAACATGAGATATAATAAGAGCTATAAATATATTACATGTATAATACACCGATAATGCCGGATTAATTGTGAAGCAAAGGAAGGGAGGTACTCAGAAATTGATAATGAGAATAAGAAGTGGAAATATATGTATAAAAGGTGAGTGTGATTCTGGCTGGAGTAGGAAAAAAGGATATGCAGACTATGCGGGGAGCGGGAGGGCGCGCTAAAACATTACACAGAAGAATTTAGGGGAGTACGGAGATTAAGAGAAAGTTCGAAGAGACTAGATAAAGTAAGTTACTGCGAGGAAATATTCAATTGGCTGGGAGAATTAGAAAAGAAAAAGGATGTAATAAAATAATGCCAAAGTTAGGGTTAAGTTGCAAATAGAATTAGGTAGGTTAAGTATTATACATATAATTACCCTTATAGATGAGGGTATAGATGTTCGCGGTCATAGAAAATACGATGAGTGAACGAAAAAAAATTATAAGCCAAAACCATTTCTAGGCTGAAGAGGTCGAAATAAATAAATTATTATTAATTTCCACACCTCTGTATTATTTGAACTAAGTTATATCCAACTTCGCTACCATAACACGTACCTTGATGACGCCCACAGCGACAGTCTGGCGCATATCGCGCACGGCGAAACGACCCAGTGGCGGAAACTCCTGGAACGCTTCAACGCACATCGGTTTTGTCGGCTGTAACATCACAATCGCGGCGTCGCCGCTTTTGATGCTCTTTGGATTCTCCTCGGTGGTCTTGCCGGTACGACGGTCACACTTCTCCTTGATCTCCGCAAATTTACAGGCAATATGAGCTGTATGGCAGTCAAGCACAGGCGTGTAGCCGTTACTGATCCGTCCCGGATGGTTCAGAACGATCACCTGAGCGGTGAAATCGGACGCCCCTCGTGGTGGCTGGTTCTTTGAGTCCCCTGCGACGTAGCCGCGTCTCAGCTCCTTCACAGAGATGTTCTTCACGTTAAAGCCGACGTTGTCGCCGGGCAATGCCTCTGTCAGGGCCTCGTGGTGCATCTCGACAGACTTTACTTCAGTGGTGAGAGCTGCAGGAGCGAAAGTAACCAACATACCTGCGAAATCAAAGGCAGAGATGGGCATTATTTAAATAAATAATTATTTAAATAATGAATCAAATAAAAGATACTTTATTTTTAATCGTTATGTGAGGCTCAAATAATTCTAGTTATCTTTATTCGACGCATGAGAAATATTTTTTTTATTTGATGAGAATTTATCTTCAGCGCCGAATAAAGTTTTCATCTTCATTTGTATCTTTATTTGAAGTCAAATAATTTTCTGAGCGCGTTCGAGCCGCGCCGCCGAGGACTGGGGAGTTGAAGACTGGCACACGCGTTACAATGTAAATAGCATCACCCCATGACGAAAGCAGGGATTGAATGTAACCGTAAACTTCTATAAATGAAAATTTTCTGCGGGTATTTTATCTTTTAAATCATTTCCTTTCTGTTTTAAGTTAGCTTTGTACATTAATAATTAATACTTCGACTGTATTGTAAAAGTTCATTCCTAACAGTTGTTTTCTATCCGGTTAATAATAGTACTAAAGATATGTACATATATTTTTTTGAAATAAAAATTATTTTAAAAGTTCAAACTATTTTATCAATGAGCACTATATAATTAACATTACTGAGGGCACAGAAAGCAGAATAAATATTAAAGAGAAAGCAATATATTTATTGCACGTGTCCCCGTATATTTCGATATACAGGGGCCACGTGATTATTGTCCCGGACTCGGGTCCGCGCCGGGATCATAATCGTGGACTACGCAAAACACTCCTGACCCTCGGAAATACGTTTTTTGCCCGATGCTCAAAAGCTTGGGCAACTCGCCTTTGTAGTATTCCGAACATAGAAAAGGACAAACGATTGAAAAACAGAGACAAAGCTTCTGTTTCCACTCGACTCGACTGCGTGGCTGGCCTGTGACACTCTCGCCGACCAATGGTTACATTATTGCCGACTACACACAAGGATCTCGCACTGGAACAGCGATCCTTCGCTTTGTTTATCAAATAGTAATAAAATATTGACTTCATAATGAAGTCTCTCCTATTTCTCCTTGAAATAGATTTATTGAAAAATTACAATCAAGTTGATCTTATATGCATCCGATCATTTCTCAAATTTTCCTTTCTTTTCTTTTGCTCGTCCTTCATGTACATAATATCTTCCTTTTTTTCATTTTTGTTCACTTCCTTTATTTTTATTCTGTATATATGTAAATCAATTTTGTTTTTCCAGACTGAATGCATATACACCGCGTACGCACATATAGGTGTAAACGCTGGCTATTCTGACGTATCGAGTCTAATAAAGTATATATGAGTGTTGAGCGCATACGTATTCAAATCTGGACTCCGCTTTAACACTAGACTACCAAAGACAAACGTATATCTATTTCTATGTGATCGATAAATGTGACAAAAATGTTGAATGTAGACAAATTTATAAATGAACTCACTTCTTTACTTGCATATTTCGATAAAAGTAGTGAAACATCTGTGCAAATGCATTGTTATAACAATTTAATCACCGTCATAAGACTACCTATGGTCTGTTTTTCGAAAGATGATGCCTGGGAGGTTGGCCTGCCTCGGCGCGTGGCCTGGCGGAGATCCAACGCGAGCTGCGTATTTCGTGCGACGTTGCACGGTCTCAATGCCACTGTGTGTCTCTTTCCATCCTCCGGCACTTCGGCACGCGAGCCTATCGCTCAGACGCTTGGTAAACCAACTTCCTTCTTCACCCTACGATTTCCACGTGTAACGTTTAATAACATACGTGTTAATTTAATCTCCTTTTAATATATTGCTCAATATTTGGGTACAATACATTCTTTTACAAGAAATAAACTTTTTCTTATTCATGTATTTTAACTTTTGACGTGTGAAAACGTTCAGCGTCTCGTCAACATTCTCCGCCATTTCCAGACAATGGATGATTGACGGCCACGTGCCGAACGCAGTCACCACTCCTTGAGATTGTAGGTAGGTCCTTCTCGAGAGGTTTGTAATACGTGTGATAGAGACAGACGACCGTAGGCGAGGAGTCACGTCGACGGTCGGACGTCGTTGGCCAAGACGCAAAGAGTGAAAGAGACAGACGACCGTAGGCGAGGTCTCACGTCGACGGTCGCACGTCATTGGTCAAGATGCGAGGAGTGAGAGAGACACAAGTACCGTAGGTGTCTCGCGATCGCGGCAACACCGCGAAAACTCGGGCCTACCTCCCAGGCATCATCTTTCGAAAAACAGACCATACATTAACCAGTCATTTTGACTGGTGTGGTAGTTCTAGTGTTAAGGATGACCCATTCTGAGAAATGTAATTGTGTGTTAGCGTCAATTCTTTTATGGAAGGAGAGGCACGTGGCATCGACTTCTTCAGAAGAGACTGCATCGCCAGTAGCTTAAAGATATCATCGGTGTTTACATAGGTTCGGTGGCGGTTCTAGTGGCGATACATTGGTGATTCCTCGCGGCCTCGGCGTCCGGGTGTTGCGTGACGGCAGAGGGCCAAACGCTTGGTTGCCGCTGCCTCGGAGGCGGGCGAGATAAAAGATTTCAAATAGAGGATCTGGCCACAGAGTGGGGAGAGTCGGTGGACTCTTTGGCAAGAGGACTGTGACAAGAGACACGGCACTTACCCCAGAACCTCGAAAACGATCGTAGATCAAGTTTAATATAATATTTATAACACATGTATGGTCATAAAATACACTGGCACGAATTTTTATACGTTAAATGTTTCTTTTAAAACCTGCATTTAAAATAAATAATTGGCTTTATTTAAAAAATTCGCATTTTAATTAAATTTTTTCAAATTGGATTGTTACGTCCCACCAGTTATAGAAAAACTTCCGACATAAGAAATTCCATCACAACCAACTGTCATGACATTGTCCTGTACTCAGATTTCATAGTGTCAGCGAAGACAATATCAGCGTTATACTGCGGAATACCATCCGGGTGTTCAACCTCTCCACTACCACTAACTTTTGGAAATTATATATACACCATCGAACCATTGATTCGTTGGTAATTGTTCTCATACCACGTACCGAACGAACGGCCTGTCGCGTGTAGTACTCGCGTCCGGTAAAATAGTCCTCATAGTTAGTGTTATAACGACGTTAGACATCCGTATCTATTCATATCCGTTACTCGCATCCTACGTCGGATGAGCCAAGTCTAAAGGTCGATTTACACTATACGGTACATACCGTCGCGTACCGGCGCCGGTACGGATCGTCATGGGGACAATAAAATATTGAAACATGCGTTTTAACTGTGACTGTCTACATTGTCTGGCACCGACCCGCAACGTTCCGTCAACGGCACATACCGATGCCGCCGGATTAGGTTAATGTACATTATGCGGCATCGACCGTTCCGTACCGACAACAGCACGGACCGTCACTAATGATCGAACTGGCTCGAGTCGGCTCGAAAGCCGGATGAAAGCATCGTGCCAGCCTAAAGCAGATCCAAATCTGTGCAACAGCGAGCAGGAACACGCGCAACATGGCGCGCGGCCAAAATCCCGTCCACATGCAACAGAATTTCTACTCAAGACCCTCAAGAAGGGTCGATTTTAACGATCCGGCGCGCATTCGTAGCGCGCAAATGTTCGTCAAGACGGGGAAACACGGCTAACGCGCGCACGAGAACGCTCGGCGCGCATCGTCCACGAAATTGGAAGGAGCTCTTCTATTTTTCTTAAATTAAACCATCCGTAGTGAAAAATAAACCGCTGAATGGATGAATAACCCCTATATAGAATATTCATATAACAAATAATAAGAATATGTTTCCTGTTTCCCTGAATATGTATTATAAAAATAGTATAAATATAACATATATTTATACATAAAGGTTTTCATTATTATACAGGGTGTAACAAAAATGTTGCTCGACCCGGATATGGGACACTCGGGGGGTGAATGGGAACAACTTTTTCCTTAGCGAAAATGTAATCTGAGGCTTCGTTACCGAGATATTAACGAAAAACCGCGACCAATCAGAGCGTGAGTTTGCCAGCCGAGTTCCCGCGCTAGCGGTGGCTACGCGCTATGCTTGTACTATGGAGCTCCGAACAAGCAAGTCGGTATTGTAACCGCTCCGATTGCATAATTACATATTGTATATATATATATATATATATATATATATATATACAACCACCAGGTGGTGATCGAAGGAGGTCGATACGAGCCCGTCGATCAGCACTCTGCGCTGGAAAGCGAACCGATGAACACGCGATTTTAAAGGGAGTCCGTACGGCGAAACCCGGTACGTAGTCGAAGGGTCAAACCGACCTGGTAAGATCGTCAAACCGCCTTTCTTGCCCTCGTTACGTACGCGCCTCAAACTGAGGAGTCAAGTGCACAAACCGCAAGAACACGGAAATTTGGGAAGTTCTTCGTAATTTAAAGTTGTCAGTCGTGGACCACGCAGCTGTCAGTTTAACGTTGTATCGTACATAGCCGTAAAACAGTAGAAAGATACAACTTCTCTCTTATAATATTCCTATCATTCTGACGGTACACGTTTTTGGGCCCTGTACAACCATGTGTGGACAAGTGGAACGTAGAATTCGTGTTGATTCGCGTGTCCTTGTCATCGCGATCTTCGAGTCGTAACAATTTCAAATCACTAATTACTAAGGAATTTAACTGTTTCCGCGTCGTATATACTCGATCGCGATACACAATCGGATTCTGCATCGTCATAGTTTCTCTCCCGACACCGGAGAACACTGGAAATCCACGCATAAGTGCCGACGGATGAGCTCTCAGATGTTTCAGATTGACTGGGGCGTTATGCTTGTCTCCACTCACGCATTTTCTCCGATAATTTGGCCATATGCGTGAGTGATGCGACAGGTTCTCAATCGTACGCGTAAGGTAAATCTAACATTCAGATCGACCGCGGCAGTAGATAAGGACGCGCCTCCGAGAGAGTGTTTGCATGAATGTGGCGTATTTTTAACGAGGGATAAATGATAACCAACTATCGAGACCTTTAAATTAACGGAGCCCGCGCTTTGATGAAACTGCACGACGGTTCATTCGTTGTACTTCTCCAAAGCACGTGTTTTCCCAAAACGCTGGTTTCTTTTTACCTAAATCTTGTTGCCGCGGTGGGAGTGAACTCACAATGTAACGATGGAAACTACTTGGGGATAGAGGAACCCTAAAGGAAAAATTCTGTCAGTCGGTTAGCAATCGGGCGACAGAGATGTTCAGTTCACGGGAGTATTACACAATGTTCTGGTGGTACGTACAGAATAACGGATATGCGGTTGCTGCTGTGCAAGTGTTTAGCTACGAAGAACATCTGATAAATCGAAAACAATCGGCCCTTTTTGGGGGAACCGGAGAGTATGAGAATATTCTATTTCTGACCGGGTCGTCGTTTTAGAGAAAATATATTTTCAGAATTTGTTAGATACGTGCGGTTTTACTAAAACCTCTTGCGACCACCCGTGCCTCTTCCGGCGACCCCCGAGCAGCGTTAAATCTGGCGAGCGAGCTGGCAATGCAATGTTACTGCCACGTCCGATCCAACGATTAGGAAACATCCTATTTAATATTTGCCGCAATTGCCGAGTACATATAATTTGTTAGGCAGCCGTCCTGTTGATACCACATTATCTGACGTATTAGACACGGTACATTTTCTAATAGGCCTGGTAGTGTGTCCGACAAAAATGTGGAGTATGTTTGACCTATTGATGATCCTTCAATGAAGTACGGTCCAATGATTTAGTGACCAAATATGCTGCACCAAACGTTCACTTTCCACCGGTGTTGGTGGTCAATTTCACGAATTCTATGTGGATTTTCTGTTGCCAAATAATGCATACTTTTTGTACTAATATCTCCGCAATTTGTGACCAAGGCTTCGTCAGTCCATAAAACAGTCTTACAAATGTACCATTCGAATCTTCCATCTGGTGCAACAACCAATCACAGAATTGTACACATTTCTCAAAATCTCGTCCATGTAGCTTCTAATGTCCTGGCAGGTGATACGGATGAAAGTTATCCGAATGAAGGAATACGTATAACACTACTTAGACCAGGCCTGTCCAACATGTGGCCCACGGGTCATTTCGCCAGACGACGCGGTCCCCGCCATCACTCAGTCCATACCTCACTACTCGCTTGCACTGCGATGCGATCGTGGAGCAAGAGGTACGCGCGGGTAGGAATTTCTGGAGTGTCAGAAGTGGGGGACAGCCAGAGCATGTACACACGCTTTCTTGCCTCTATATCGTTGGGCTTCTTGTGGTTATGGTGGGGGGTCATTCCCCTCGGCTGATAGAGCAAGCCGGTAGGGGCGATTATCGATTTTGGCCCGCGGGCCACAAGTTTGACAGGCCTGACTTAGACTAATGCCCGAACCACGCGAAATCTGCCGTGTACAGATATGTGGATTATGGGCAACAGCTGGTGGTAAGGTAGAATTACGACATCCTTCATCATTTACAATTTTACGACAGTTACGTTTCTGTACGTTAAAACTGCCATGTTCTTTGTCACGTTGCGCGGATTCTTTTTCGAATCCGCCTGGAGTTGTAAACACCAGGCTCGACCGTCGTGGTACGCGTCCAGTTGCGACTGTTGCCCGCCAAATTAATATTAGGTAACTGTTTCAATATTCTCTAAATGAGAATAAACAGTATAATTGCTCGACCGGTGAAGCTGACGAGTCGCGAGTATTGTGATCATGACTTGTCGAATGATCGTGTACGAATGCGTGACTTGTCGATACGAGATACGAGTGTTTTCGAATGAATGGTTTAAGTCCAAATGACTCTTGTCGATACGAGTACGTGAATGATTGAATTATGAATGTTTGAGTTTCGTGTGATGTCGCGCTTCCTCCAAGTTCGCCGAAGGCGTTACCAAAATTCGCATCCTTATTGGTTATGCCCTGAAGGGGAAGGTAAATTCCTGGGTTTTTCCAAGTGACGTGGAGGTGGAAAACCTATCCGTCAGGGCGAAGCGGACGCCAGAAAAATATAGAGCATGTGATCACGATGTGACTTGACCGCGATGAATTTTCGAGTCTGCCAACGATAGAGTTTATGATCACATTGTCTACGAGTCAGCGCGCCCCGGTAAGATCCCCGGCTTGAATGGGTCCCAGGTTACCGTGCGCATGTGACAGACTGCAGAACAAATGTTGGAGTCTTTTGTCTGTTTTCCCTGTTGTTCACGAAATCTAAATTTCAAGGGGCCGGTGTCGAAAATGTCTAAAATACCTCACGAAGGAAATAAAGTAATGAAAAACTAACGGTATCGTCCGATTCTATAGCTGTCGTTTCTGACCTACGACGGAACATTCTTGGAGCCTTTTGCTGAGCCTTACAAAGGTAAAATGTGATGGCTGATTTTGATCGGGATACTTATGTACTTTGGTATAATATCTTAGCTCTCGTAGCATTTTCATAACACGCATCATAAACAATTATCATATCGCACTTTTCTCTGTTACAGAACATTTTTTTGTTACGTTTACTGAGCTACTAAACAGCTACTAAACTCAGTTACATCTCATATAGATGATGTCTAATATGTAAGAAGGAACGTGTTTACAAACATTACTTGTCGTCGTAAACAAACTTGTGTTCTCATGTTGCCTGAGCATTATGAAAAATTTCCTAGTAGAAGATTATTAATTTGAAAATATCCCAGTAATTATTCATTTTAAGCCTTCTTTGGTATAATACTTTTTTACGCAGAATTTGGTGCTTTATCCGAATTTGGGATAAAATATTGGGTATTCTATTTAAAAAACTGAAGGTGACCCTCATATCTCGATAAAAAAGCAAAATAACAGAAAAGAGATTACAGCACTGTATGCCCCTCTGGAAACCATGCAACATTTGTTTGAACAATTTTTTTATAGAACAAATAACTTACGAGTTGTTTGAAAATGTAATGTTACGAAACTCACCCTGTATAATAATTTGGTAAAAACTGTTATAGTAGAGAATAGTGGAATTGATGGAAAACTGATAATACTGTACTACTATCAGTGGTTTATTAGAAACAGAAGTTAATAGAGGCCATACACACTAGTTGAATCGACTGAAAAGCACGTGTGCCGAACGAATATGCAAACTGCATTTTTTAGAATGTAAAATTTCATAGAAAGATATTTTAGTGTAAAGTTTTACTCTGATTTGAAAAATAGTATAGTAAACTATAAATTGATTAGAGGTCGAAGGGGAGACATTTGGAGTGATAGGCACTGTATAGATCGCGATTTGTCAATTCGCCGTAATTCTGACCAAAATTCAAAAACTGCCATTACCTTAATGCTTTTTTACGAAGTTATGCGCCGAGCTAATCTTAATGATCTTTCCGTATCGGTCACGCGTTGCGGCCAACTGAGCGATATTACAGTTGCATACGGATGTTAGAAAATCTTTCAAAAATGTTATGAAAAAAATGCGAAACAAATTCCGGAGGGGCAGTACTACCCCGGTCATCGGTGACCGACGCGGCCTAAACGAAAAGTTTACTGTTCGTCATCGATGACGAACATGGCATTCAACTTATTAATATACATGTGTATATTGAAGTATGTAGTTGCATTTACGATCGATATCGTACATATCGAAAGTGAAAAAGTATTTAATCCAGTAAATGTTCTACTATGTAAAATGTCCGGACCGCGGTGTACACGAACCACGGAAGTACGAGGGATGTTTCCAACGTTCTGGGAATTGCAATCCGGCTGAATAATGCAGGCGTACTGATCAATGCTTTCAGGTGCAGAGAAATCCTGACAGGTTAGTCAATGCTGATCAGAATCAATCAGGAGCTTGGCAAATACAGACGTGTTTGTGAAGTGTTAATTTTGCAACTATACAACACTATTAACTCTTAAAGAGCCATTTTTTAAAAAATTATTCACCTGAGCTGACACCCAACGATCATCATCTGTTATCAAAATTGAAGAAATATCTACGTGGTGTGCGATTTCAGGACATGAATGACTTAACGAAGAGATTCTTAAAAAGTTTTTTTCAGGTGGCAAAAAGAATTACAGTGAGGTCCGGTTATTGCGACACCGCTTATAACGGCAGACTGTATATTGCATCCAACTTGCTCTCTAAGTTCGGTTCCCATGCACATTACTTTATACATATTTTTATTCTGCTTATAACAACGTTCGTTTACAGCGACATAATTTTTCTGTCCCTTGAATGTCGCTATAAACGGACTCCACTGTTGTTTCGCATTAGGACAAGTGCATACAGTTAAACAGAAATTACATTGAAAAATTACAATGTAGTATAGAGAAAAACGAATAAAATAAGCAGTTTATAACACAATTTTCCAGAATTTTTTAAACACCCCTCGTATTTAGGACTGAACGGTGAAAGCGTCACTGAACATCGTTTCCACAGATTGAAACATACCTGGCTTCAGAATACCAGTCTCCACACGGCCAACCGGTACGGTACCAATACCACCGATCTTGTAGACATCCTGAAGTGGCAAGCGAAGCGCCTTGTCGGTCGGTCTAGACGGCGGTAATATAGCATCCAGGGCCTCTATCAGTGTCTTTCCATCAGCATTAGCATCTTTACGCTCCACTTTCCATCCCTTGTACCAGGGCGTCTTTGGCGATGGTTCGAGCATATTGTCACCGTGCCAGCCAGAGATCGGCACGAACGCGACTGACCCGGTGTTATAGCCGATCTTCTTAATATAGGAGGACACTTCCTTTTTAATCTCTTCGAAACGACTTTCTGAATATGGTGGATCGGTCATATCCATCTTGTTTACGCCGACTATCAGCTGTTTCACACCCAGAGTGAACGCGAGCAGAGCGTGCTCGCGGGTTTGCCCGTTCTTCGAGATCCCGGCCTCGAATTCGCCGATACCGGCCGCGACGATAAGCACGGCGCAATCCGCCTGGCTCGTTCCGGTGATCATGTTCTTGATGAAGTCGCGATGACCGGGTGCGTCGATGATAGTCACGTAATACTTGGCCGTCTCGAACTTCCACAATGCGATGTCGATCGTGATACCGCGTTCACGCTCAGCCTTTAGCTTGTCCAATACCCACGCGTATTTGAAGGAACCCTTTCCCATCTCTTGCGCTTCCTTCTCGAACTTCTCGATGGTACGCTTGTCGATGCCGCCGCATTTGTAGATCAGGTGGCCGGTCGTGGTCGACTTGCCCGAGTCTACGTGGCCGATCACCACGATGTTTATGTGTATCTTTTCCTTACCCATGTCGGGGACCTAATCACCTGCAACAAGGAATAGGAGTTTAAATGCTCGACTTTGGTATCGATTTCTCTGTGGATGGTTTGCTAAAGAGGGCAATTGCATTGACTGGCATAAAAAACACTGTATTTCAATTTCGAGGAAATATATGTGGCCTGTTTCTAAAGTCAAGCGACTGTATTTCGAAAATTCTTCTATGGTGCAGTTTTAGTGATCAAAATGCTTGGAAGTACAGTATCCGCTCGATAGACACATCTCTCGGAGCTATAGAGGACCAAATTTCCAGGAACGATGCATCTATCGAGAGCCAATTACTCGCGCACTTATCCTACCAGTCGTAAGTTCACTTCTACGAGACAGCTACATATAGGGTGGGTTGGATGTACATACTTTTTAATTATTTTAATTATCTCCGTTATTTTTAGAGATATCAAAAAAGTTTATTTACAAAAGTTGTTTAGTATAGCGGGGGTTATTACTAATTACAGTAACAATATCTTCGTAAGTGGAAAATCTTTTGAAATTTCAAGATTAATTGTTTTCTTTTTAATAATAGTGAAACATTGTAGAATAAAAATATTCTTTTTGCGCAAATAGATTCTTTTAAACATGTTGCGTAATAAAATATTGGGATATTATCTGAAGAAAGTTAATAATTTGTGAGATATTTTATATACAAAATGTCAATTGTCATGTACAGGGTGTTTGAAAATTCAATGTCACGGCTACCATAGCGTTATTCTACACCTCTGGACCGGTGAAGATTTGCAAAAGAAAGAGACCGCAAAAGTGACCTTTACCTTGAAATTCAAGGTCAAACTTTTTTATTGTTGCATCGTATTCTACTCGTCGTGGGGGTAAAAAGTATGAAGGAACCATGGGCCACAACTCAACCGTTCTCTTTGAAAATTGCGTTAAAGTTGTATTAGCATTCGGACACGCTTTATTTGCAGTGTACCTACATATTTCAGTCATATGCTCAGATACACCATTATATGTCCTAAATCTTCCGTTCTGTCTTTCTTCCTATAAAACGTTCGCAGTTCGTCGTCCCATATACGTATAGGTCAACGCACTCCAGACGACCTCCCGGTCGAGAAGGGACGTTCTTCGGTTCGAGACAATTTAGAAAATATGTTTGAGATATATCACCATATTTCCTCTGTAATTCTATTCTTCTTCCATACAATCTTAATATACATATAAACACGTTGGTGCGTATGTATGTCTGACCATCACGGCTGAACCACTGAAGCTATCCACCTTATATTCACACCATATGTTCGTGTGGTGCTCCGGATTGTTTTTGTTTGTGTTACACCCCCCTAGGTGGCGCTGGGGTCGTTTTTTTTTTTTCGAAAATTCTTATCTTTTTAATATATAAAAACGTTGGTGCGTATGTATGTCTGACCATCACGGCTGAACCACTGAAGCTATCCTTATATTCACACTATATGTTCGTGTGGTGCTCCGGATTGTTTTTGTTTGTGTTGGACCCCCCTAGGTGGCGCTGGGGTCGTTTTTTTTTTTTCGAAAATTCTTATCTTTTTAATATATAAAAACGTTGGTGCGTATGTATGTCTGACCATCACGGCTGAACCACTGAAGCTATCCTTATATTCACACTATATGTTCGTGTGGTGCTCCGGATTGTTTTTGTTTGTGTTGGACCCCCCTAGGTGGCGCTGGGGTGGAGATATATAGGAAAATGTAGTTTTCCCTGTATGTAATTTTCATATCAAAAATATTAAATTTAAATGTAAATTTAGGCAGAACAACGATTGCCGGGTCAGCTAGTCTCTTATAATCAAAGACATCGAATAAACCTTCGAACAACTTTTGCCAGTACGAATAAACGCGCTGCCGAGCGTTGATCGCCAAAGGTCCAAGACCAGCGACCGTCCATCGGCATACAATGTAAACAGGTAAGGATTCATGGACAAGTGAAAATTTAAACTTTTACATTTTTCAATATATTTTAATGAAAGTGTCATGAATGAATTTAAGAGATTCTCCCGATGAAAATGCGTCCAAATTCGAGTGTAATTGAACAATTGTTACTCATACGTAATATTGCGGAGAAAAATGATATATTATTGAAAATACTCCGAATGATGTCGTATTCGGAGTCATTTCCACCGGCAGAATCTCCTCAGTTCATTCATGACAGTTTAATGAATGTATACTGAAAACTATAAAAGATTAAATTTTCATTCATGCGTTTCATTCCTTATCTGTTTACATTGTATTTCGATCGTCGGTCGCTGGCCTTTCACGTTCAACCCCCAGACAATCGCGGAGTGTGTGTGGACATTTTTCGCGGCAAGACAATCGTGTAGTGTGTGTGGACACTTTTCGCAGACTTCTGTGGTGCACATGCATGTGCGGATTAATTTCATGGATACTCGTGGACAGGACAATTGCTGTACGTGACAACCAGAGGTTGTATTAATCCTCTCCATTCGATAATATTCGTAAGAAGATATTTACATTTCTTGCGAATTTTATCGAGTAATCAGAGTTAATGCGATACAAGTGGATTTGACTCAAATACCGCGGTTACAAGTTATGGACATCTACCGGGTAAATAGACAGATATTCTACCTACTTTTCCTGTACGTAGTTGAGTCTATAGAGTAAGTGTCAGCCCCTTACGAACCCTGCTCCGCTGACACTCCGTACGTGCGGATTGCCATCATTGGGTGAATTTTTAAACGGTTATAACTAACAAACAAAGCATTTGTTGCCACTTTGTTATTCTTCATTTTAGTCTTATTTTGTTCCAAAAAATCACCCCTTAAATGTTTTCCCACTAGTAGTCGAACATCCTGTATATGTCTATGGTTCATAGAGGCACCAATTTCGGACGATTTGCCCGACGCCCGACGTCAGCTGAACATTTCAACACATCGAGAAGCACTGCGTGTCGCGCAGCAACCAATCAGATCGGCCGACGTCGGACGAAAACAATCTGATGACCAATGCGGTGCTACTGTGACCATGGCCTTGGTATGTTGCCGGAACAGAAAAGGACAGCGAACGAAAGAGAGAGAGGTCTGAGCGTCGACTCGAGCCACGCCGTCGAGTCATCAACGAAGGTGTTGCTAAAATCGTACGTAAATGCGTACATTGTCTAGTAAGCGTATACAATTAGTAAACTTTACGCTTTTACTGTGACATATATGTACAAAGCAAGATGCCAGTTTTTCAAAATCATCTTTACAGTCTGTTGTTCAGTTTCAGATTCCGACGCGTCGACACATCGGTGGTGCGTGAGGACGAACAGTATACGTACGTCCATCAGATTGGTGGAGTTAATAGAAAGAAAAATGTCAAATAATATTAATGTTGAGTTATTATTTAGCGAAGTAGAATAAAGAGACGTAATATGGTATAAATCCAATAAGGACTATTAGGATGAAAATAAGAAAAATGCCAACTGGTGGCCGTGACGTATAATTTTCAAATACTCTTTATGACCTCCGACATTAGTCGCAACGTAATCGTCATCTTGCGACGTTCTTGTGTCCCTAGCTTAAACCTCTGCGGCTGCCTCGACGCTCAATCTCTTCTTTCCATTTCAAGAATGCGCAGTCCAAATCCGTATCAGTCTCCGTTTCTTGCTCGCTGCGCGAACACCAAACAGACACTGGGTAGAGATCGGACCAAATACGTAGAGGTGCCGAGAAAGGAGAGGTGCGAAGAAGTGTACCACTGCCCGTTAAGCTGCTCGTTCTATTATAGTTGCGCGCTACAATTGCAGAAACGGATCATGACGGACCATGATGAAAATGCGAGCTAGTACGTTGACCAATACGATTACTTCCTTCGAACAGAAGGTAATGCTAGCCTATTATGGACGCCTTTTGCTCCGCAAAAGAAAGGTAGAAGGAAGCGCGTGAGGTAAAGTAAGCTAACGGGAAGTCGTACGAAAGGCGTAGAATGGGAATGTGAAAGACGCGCGACTCTATGCAATACTTTTCCTTTTGTATGTGTTTTTTTCTATAATTGATAAATGACTGCTATACTAAAAATACTGTACAACCTGTTTTCGTAATTTATCGGAAGTACGTAAATAAATATGATCAAAATTATATCGTGTTTTTGGCTCCCCCCGTTCGGCCGTCGTCCTGCGTCGGCCTTTTTTTTTTGACGGGGAAGCAAAAAGGTTGCAAAGACCTGTGCGGGGTTTCACCACGCTAAAAACCGGTGACCCTTTCGGACGTGAGAACCGGTCATAAGAACGCCGAACGCCGAAGCACACTTCCGCAACCGGACCCGGGCCTGCGTCGACCTGTATAGGCCTACGTCAGTCGTCGACTCGTGAAGGGGAATACATTGTACATATACATATAGAAGGTGTAACAAAAATGTTGGAGGACGCAGAAATGCGAGACTCGTGAGGTGATTTGAAACAAGTTTTTCCTTAGCAAAAATGTTATCCGTGGCTTTCTTAACGAGATATTAACAATAGGTTTACGGGACGCGTCATTTTGACGCATTTCGAATGCTTTCTAACCTCGAAATTCTCTATGTGGTATACCTATCTCTATAGCTATGCATTAATTTCAGAGATCATAAATTGTGTATTATATAAAATAAGTTGTTTTTTTAAAGAAAATCTGCGGGTTCGTTGATGCGTGCCGTGGAGTTACCTACACGATAAGTGCCCGTAAACCTAGTGTTAACCAGAGACCCCGACCAATCAGAGCGCAAGTCTGCCAGTCGTGTTCACGCGGGAACGTTGGCTAGCAAACGCAGCGCATAGCTCTTTTTGTACATTCAGTAGGGGGCTTCAAACTATGAATAAATGTTAAATGTCTACTTATGGATCCGCTAGTTCCACCAACACATCCAAATACACTATTGTCTCGTTCATCACACACATTACAAGTAGCTTTATCGCCATTACGGTCTGCATATTGCCACACCCAACTTTTCGCATTAAACATTTCTTTGACAAATTGGAATCTACTAAGTTTTCTTATAATGAAATGTTATGCAAAATTATTCAAATAAGGACTGATGCTTGTACATTGACTGTTGCTATCAAACTGTTATCAGAGCATATTTAGAAAAACAAAATCGCAGCACAATAACTGTTGTCATGACAAATACGATGATCATTGTTTTCCGCGGCATACGTGCTCTATCTGTGATTCTTTTCGCAATACAATGCAAGCATGTTCGAATTACCATGTGCAATTGAATACCAAAATAATTATAATGCAATTGATTGGTAGTGCTGAATTTTTTAGCAGACATTTAAGATTTACTTACAATTTGAAGCCTACAACAATATATCCAAGAATTACGGAACTCGCAATGAAACATTTAAACATATCAGCAACAGCATTTGCTCCGGCATCCTGTTTTCCAACTGCTGTGAATATTGCTATCCCAAAAGAAGTCGTCTATTGTCAGAAAATTAAAACATCAGATTTTTTGTAGAGATCAAGAAAAGATTAGATTCCTGGGTATTGGTGATACAACGCTAATGCAACGATGAAACTTTTTTATTTTTGATTCGTTGTTAATAAAACTTTAACTAGAATATTGGTGAAATTTTTTTTTATTATAATGATACCAAATACGACATAATTTGGATCATATTTACTCATGTAGAAAGTGTTAACAATTCATATTCGTTCATTATCGTTTCTGATAAATCATAAGTAAATATGGTCCAAATTATATTGTGTTTGGTATCATTTTAATCAGAAAAATCTCACGAATATGTTCGTAAAAGTTTGGTTAACAAAGAATCAGAAACAAAAAGTTTCATCGTTGCATTTATTCCCCTCGATTAGCCGTCGGCTCGTGAAAGGATAGCCTACAATTATACACTTGACTGGTTCCACGGCCCCCTGGTGGGGATGACGACTTCACACTCATCGTGTACGAGCCGGCTCACACTTATCAGGACATTACTGTAATACAAACTCCGCCAAATTTATTCGTTGATTATTCTATACCACGAACATGAGTATTCATTACTCTAACGCTGGAACTGTCAAAGCAATTAAAACCTGTTTCGTAAGCTCTTCGAATGATTCTTAAAATGTTACGACATTGCATTTCGTCAAATTTTTCACAACTCTTATTCCAACATGAGATCGAAAAAATGAGTGAAAATAAAAAAATATATATTTTTAAGTAGGTGTCATTTTTATCGATATAATAGACATAGATGTACGCTTATTGTCGGTAATTCTATCGTTAAACGTATGTTAATTACAAATTCATTTGTATGTACCCATCTCTGGTGGTTTTTTACACGAGTACCCTCCCATGAATGCAAGTAACGGAACAATCTACTACTTTTGAGCCATAAAAAAACAACTCTTACGAGTCTCGTTATCAATGCCCAGTTGCATTTTTCCAGGAGAAAAACAAACGATTTCTCACGGATTACATTGAACGAACCCGGGTCAGGCACCGGGCGCGTATAACCTAGCTCCCCACGCGGAACGAGCAGGGTTCATTACACGATTTCGACGCCTATATCGCCGAAGAGATAATTAATATTTACGTGTCAACAAAGGCTGGCCAGCGAACCCCCGAAAGTATTGATTCGTCCAAACGAACGACACGCGGGCCACGTCGAAAATACGAGTGCGAGTGCGCGGCATTCATTCGGTCGAGCCCTAAAAAGAAGGAAAGAGCGGAGTTCGTCGTGCCTCGATTTCAGCTCCCACGAGAACATGCCCCCGCGACCCAATACCGGGCCGGCCGGATCGATATTATTCCGTCGTCTTTCCTAAAATCATGCACCGAGAGGACATCGACGGAATACTTTGTCAACGTAAACCGGAGCGCATCCCACGTTCGATAGACCGCAACGATTCCCATCCATCGGCCTTTTCTAATAATAGTTACAGTGACCAAGCAGCCATTTCACGGATCAGCAATTTCAAGCTCGTGATTCCGGCATCAGACTAACGTGCAACTAACAAGGAATATACTCGAACGGTCAATTTTCCGTTAAATAAAAATCTATTCTTTAATCTCGGGTCTTGGATCGACGAATTTAGAAACCCTCGGAACATTCACGCTCCCATGATGCGATTACATATCAAAGAGTAAGGAGGTTAGGGAAGTCCGTGAAACCGAACGAAGGCTCAACGAACACCTAACCAACACCGGTTCTTGGTCACTCACCTATGAGTCGATCGCGAGAAGCTTCGCCGGAAATTCGAAGAATCGTTGGGGCACAGAAAAATCGAGTCAACACAGGCCAAGGGAGATCCAACTGCGTCACAACGATCGCACGCCCTCCGGTTCGTGTAATGGCCGCGGCAATGAACTGGCGGCGCACTCTCCGCTTGTTCCCGCGAGTCCTAGCCCACTAGACACCTTATTCGATCAGTTATACTCCTTCGAACGAATTTCGACTCACGATTGTACCTTAGTAATACCGCCTGTTAATACCGACGCGAAATTGTATAACTTGTTTAATCGGATATATCGTATTATACTTTGCACCGGGGTGAACTTACACCGGGTTGCGAATCAATATGTCGTCCAGCCGGCGACGCGACTTCCGTGTGTGTCGCGATCGGTCGATTTGTTCACAGGCCTCGCGCGGCAATGATTCTTTGTTTTCGCAACTGATTTCAGGCAGGTGGCTGAATGTTTTATCGGGTACGATTACTCACCGGTATCGGCGGGATGAAGATGCGGGAAAATCCGCGTGTTATCGCACGTATTTCCGTGGCCGCTTGCTGGCCACTAGGACGGGACACGGTGACGGAAACAGTGGGGGAAGGAGTCGACCGGAGAGGAGAGCGAGAGGAGCATGCCGGGGTGAAATCGCAGTGTCATCTGTTGGCGTTATTGTCTCCGGACAAGAGGTGAAGGGCGCATGTGCCATCGACATGGAGGACGGTGGTTCGCCGCTGCGATTGGACCAGTCACCAGTCGATCCACCGTCGACAGTCCGTCTATTTTCCGCCGCCGCCGACGCTGTGGTGCAACGGCTTGACCGACACGACGAGCGGGATCATTACGATTAGTTTCGGCCGCGGGTCCATTTCTGACCATCGTCAAGCATTATTTATATGAAATTATATTTAAATTATCATCTACATAACAATGTGTTTATCATTTGTCGTGGTTATTATGTTTAGTAATCTACCAGTCGAAAGACGAAAACTGCTCGAATGTGTATCCGAAACGAGTTGTGCGACAATTGTTTATTAACGACTTTTATTTGATCTAAATAAATACCTACACAATTACAGTACCACTTTACGGGATTCACATATTTTACATTCATAAGATTCGAATCTTACATGCTTTCATTTTTCAATATTAATCTACCCATTGTCAAATAGCTGCGCAGTTGGCACCTGAAATTTCAAAATGGTGTTCAATGTATTCGTGTGGGGTCATTCCACGCGAAATCGGACACTTTTTGGAGAAAGATTTCGGATTTTCTTGACACCTCGACATGTTGTTGTCTTTCGTGATATATGCACGTACACCGAAGGATTTTTGAAAATTTTTTAAATTGTTTTTACGGCTGTTGCAAATATATTGTCAGTCGATTTTTAATAAACTATAACTGTTGAACTAACAGTGGAGACATAAGAGTACTTAATAAAAACTATTTCAGTTAAAACAATATTTCTTAATCATTTACTGGCAATTGTTTTAAAGAAATGCCCGATAGCACTGTATATCCAAAGGACGTCCGTTTCATACTCAGTTTATATCCGAATTTCCTACGTCCATTTTGGACATCCTTAGGATGTTCGTAAGACTTAAATTTCGGATGTCCTAAAACGTCCATCCCGAAAGTCTTACGGATATTCCCAAGCTTAAATTTCGCATGTTCTAAGACTGTCTGTTTCTTAAGTTTTACGAATGTTCGTAGAATTTAAATTTCGGATGGTTTCGTTTAGTAATTTTGGCTCAATGTCATTCCGTGCAAGGTGATGGAACTTCATGAGTAAGGTGTCATTCTTTAGAGAATCAATAGAGAAGCGTAACGACACTAATGGTTTAGTGCGGATACCTCAGTGTGTCATGTGATGTCATAATAACGGGGCACTATTTAAAATTTTTTAAAAATGAGGATATAGTCCTATTTGTTCTTTTTATGAACAAATTTTTATATGGAGACTTTAAAATTGGCCATGTGAAAATTAATTGAAGTTAACGCTGCGTTGAATCACATCGGCTCGATCGCCCAAGCCGTGCGGAACTGGTGCGGAACTAAACTATAACTATTATAACAAAATTAATTCTGCTATGTTACGGTCCTTCTGATACCATATAACTTTTGTGAATAAGCTTTTCTTTATATGTGTAGAAATAATGGAGATAATTAAGGTGATCAACGTTGCTGGACTATTTTTTTTAATGCACGTATTATTCAACAGAAGTTTCATTTATTCTTCTTTACTGAAAACAAAGTAATCAATAATATGAATTATATTGTGATATACATACATAATGATCAAAGTTACTGAACCATTCCTTAGAATGCACATATGATTGTGAACAGTAATTTCATTTATCCTTCTACATTGAAAACAATGTAATGAATAATATGGAAAAAATTGTATCGTACCAAAAGATTAACATCTAAATTTGCTTGATTATCTTATTTATGTAATTGTACACCTATGAATTTCAGTTTTATAGACAATTAATGTTTTAACTTCATTACATTGTGTTTGTTAGGTATAATATTTTACTTCTGACTCATAATCAGTCATTTTGATGTATTCATTATAAATTTTCATAATATTTTTGAGATATTTAGTCCTATTGTTCTATGACTTTATCATTGAGAACTATCTGTTAATGTTTTCAACTAGAGATCACTGGACAAAGAATTAAATGTTTATGAATATTTTTATACATATATTCAACCGTGTCTCAGGAGTAAAATATTGTAAGTAACAAATTGAAGACAATACACTTAAAAAATTAGTTGTTTCTTAAGCTAAAATAGTTGTAGAATTATAGACAGGTTGAATTTTTTAAATATTTTATATATGTAATATTTATAGGAATAATCATTTCAAATAGTATTATTGGTTCACTTTTACTTTGTACTATTTTAATAAGTTATGCAGTATCACACCCTAGACAACACACATTTTTTTAAATAGGCATTAATAGTTTCATTTACAAACTGCATATCAATTTTCCGCTTTTTGCAGCTTTTCGATTTGTATGATTAACCACCTTAAACATATTATATACTGATATTATTATAAGTTTATATGCTTACATAACTACTTACATTCAGTCTGAATTAAACATGATACGAAGTGTAGTTCAGTATGATTGAAAATATCTAAAAACATTGAAACATTTATGAAAATAATATTATATACACCACACATTCTGTGATGAAATACGCGACAGAGTGGGATACGTGAATGTGTGTGGGAAATACGTGTGAGCAAGGGGCGTTGCCAATATGCAATAAGAGGGACTCCAATAAACGAGCGTCCACTGTATCTCATTTCTATCCGAAGTTCTACGATGTCGATATAAAAATTAACAGTTTATATACCTGAATCACCAAACGTCGCGACCTTTATCGGCCTGCTGCGACTATAATTTTAGAGTGCCCGCGAATTAAATTTTAAAGAGAGAAGATCGGAGAATACGGACATCTTTTCAAGATACCAACAAAAAGAATGTACTAAATCAACGAAAACCTTAAAGAATTACTTAAAATGTTAAAAAAAAAGATTTCTGTGGAAATACTTATGTTGCTGTTACATACAGAAATGTCTTGATAAGTGTGAGCCGGCTTGCCCACGATAAGTGTGAAGTCGTCATACCCACCACTGGGGAAGGGGGCCGTGGAACCAGTCAAGCGTATCATTTTTTGCCCGGCGCGCCGCGACGGCTTCCCTTTCACGAACCGACGGCTAATCGAGGGGAACAAATACAACGATGAAACTTTTTGATTTTAGTTCTTTGTTAACGAAACTTTTACGAACATATTCGTGAGATTTTTCTGATTAAAATGATACCAAACACGATATAATTTGAACCATATTTACTTATGATTTATCAGGAACGATAATGAACGAATATGAATTGTTAACACTTTCTACATGAGTAAATATAATCCAAATTATGTCGTCTTTGGTATAATTTTAATCAGACAAATCTCACCAATATACTACTGAAAGTTTCATTAACAACGAATAAAAAATAAAAGGGTTCATCATTGCATTAGCCTTGTATCACCGATACCCGGGAATGTAATCTTTTCTTGATCTCCCCTCGTTCAGTCGTCGCGTCGACCCGTCGAAAAAAGTCTGTTTCTCCTCACCGACTGGCACGGCGGACTTTGCGCAGAGCGGGGAAATGTATATGTATACATATATACGACGCGTCGAGGATGCGATTAAGTGCCAGCGAATGCTTAGAGAGCTGCCGACGAATGAAATTAGCTGGATCACCTCCAGTCACACGTATTTTTATTATTGGCCGAAACGGTACACAAACAATTGGACTTTGTGACAAAGAGAACGAACGAGACACATTGAGACCGAGTAAGATAACGCGAACCGCAGCGATTACAATGTAACCATTGGCCGGTGAGAGCGTCGCAGGCGGGCTTACGCGGTCGAATCGAGTGGAAAGAGATGCTTTCTCTTTTTGTTTTTCAAATTCGCTCGTTCTTTTCTATATCAGAACACTACAAAGGCAAGCTGCCGAGGCTCGAGTTTCGAGCAAAAAACAGATTGACGAGGCGCTGACAACTGTTCGCGTACAGCGTGAATGTGACTCCGCTGAACCGAGGCATTCACACTTATCAAGACATTTCTGTATTAAGGGGGGAGACTCCGCGGCAAACTCCGAATCGATCGAAGCGCCGCTGTAAACAATCGGGCGCTAGCGAAAATAAATAATCGATAACAGAGACGACTTGATGATACGACATCCGACAGCAGTATCTATAAATAAATTTTTGTTCTTACCATCAAGTTGGGTTTGAGCATAGACGGGATATGTATAAGAATAGATTTATGTATCATGCAATGTATTTTCTGTCCCATGATTCGACGACGTCAGAAGCCCCCGTAACATTTCAGTATTCCATTCTGTATCGAAACGGGCTTGCTAGCCGCAAATTCCAATATGAATTATCAGCTGGGATCGCTCAGCGCTGAGCGTGGAGGTTGAAGGAGGACTCTTGCTCGTGTCCAAGTGAAACATACGAGAAATTATGATAATTGACCGAACACTTAGAACATTTATTAGAATA